TAATTCTCTTACTTCAAACTACTAAATTCACTCTATCTATACATACCACAATAGTTACTAAATTCATCTTATTTATACTCATTCAATTAAACGATTAAATATATATCAAAAAATCGAAAGAAAAATAGTAATTGTAGTAAAATTTTAATTTTCTGAGATCATCTATATTATTTCGAAGTGTTTTGAGATATTTTCACCAATGTCGTTGGAATATTTTGAGGTGTTTTAAGATATTTTGACTAATATTTTAAAAATAATTATTAAATTTTTAATAATTTTTATTCTACTTCTGAAATATTTTCAGACCGAAATAATACACCAAAATAAAATTTTGATAATTGTCTATATAGTTGATTGAAATAAAATTGAATAAATTTAATTTTTAATTAGTGAATATAAATGGGGTGAGTTTAATAACTAAAAGAGTGAGTATAGATAAGATGAACTTAATAGTTTAAAATAAAATGATTAAATGAGGTAAAAAAATGAGATTTAAGAGGTGCCCTTTAAAGTATAAGGAAGAAAAGTGTTCCGGGTGAAACCACATGAAGGCATTGCAGAGTTTGAACGGGGTAAAATTGTAACTTTATGGCACAGGTATTGTTGGAAAACGGCATATACAACATATTTCTTCCCTGGGGGAAAGCTTCGGGCTGCTCCAGCAATTTGGATAAAGCTTCGGGCTGTTCCAGCAATTCGGATGAACCATCCACAGCACGTATGAGTGTCCATTTAATTCAAAATCGTAAGATTCACGGATTCAACATGAGTTGTGTGTACGGGGTAAAAAAAAATAGTTGGTTCGGTGTAGGAATTATTGAAATTGAAGTCTATAATAGGCGCAAGATGATTTTTCACTACTACCCAATGTTTATTGGAGTTCCAGAACCAAACGAATATATCATGTGGTTAAGTCATTGGAAGCTTAAAGAGTTGAATCGGTGGAAACAGTTTAGTGAGTTCGAACCTGGTGATGAATTAAATTTTCGGATTGAAATGCTTGATTTGGAGGTAAAAGAGTTCAAAATCAATCCTATATACTATGAGCATGAAGAGAAGAATGATGATGAGCATGAAGAAAAGAATGAGCAATCAATCATTGAAGATATGCTTGGATCTACATCAACATTTGGGGACACCACATTTGTCGAACCAATGAATGGTTTGGAGGTAAATGAGGTCAAAAACAGTTCAGTGTGCAATGTGCAGGAAAGGAATGATGCCCAATCAAACCGTGAAGATATGCATGGACTTCCCCAAAAAAGAAGAAGATATGCTTAGACTTCATCAGAATATTAGGGCACCACATTTCGTTATTGTTTTCTTCAATTATCCAAGCGACTTTGGATTGCTATGAACATCAGTCTTTGTAGTTTGTAGCATTTAGCATTAAAGGGTCAGAAAATTGTGTCCGGCCTCGCCACTGCCACAGTTTCTTCAAGCAATTTTGTCTCTGATTGGCTCTATTTTATTTTCACTATCATTCTTGAGCCCCAAATAAATTCAAATTTTGAAATTGAATCTAATGAAGAGCCAAAAAACCACTGAAATTAAAAATCTGAATCCACCAAATAAATCAAATTAATAAAGATATTCAATTCACCAAGAGCGGAAAACCCTTAAATAATCACCACGGGATGGACATGGTAAAAGAGAGAGGCGAAAATTACGAAAATGACGGGTGGAGTCTCTGTTTGGTGGTGGGTTAAAGGAGCTGCTCATAGTCTAGATAAACATGCGGAGGACCACAGCACAGCCCATTTAAGGGCCACTTGGCCCAATCTCTTGAGGCTCTTACTTGTAGGGTGTTCAAATTCTCGATTATTAGTAAATTTTGATATTATCCTATCCTATCAACTCTATTGATCAACTATTCAAACGAATCAGATAGGCNTTTCACTATCATTCTTGAGCCCCAAATAAATTCAAATTTTGAAATTGAATCTAATCAAGAGCCAAAAAACCACTGAAATTAAAAATCTGAATCCACCAAATAAATCAAATTAATAAAGATATTCAATTCACCAAGAGCGGAAAACCCTTAAATAATCACCACGGGATGGACATGGTAAAAGAGAGAGGCGAAAATTACGAAAATGACGGGTGGAGTCTCTGTTTGGTGGTGGGTTAAAGGAGCTGTTCATAGTCTAGATAAACATGCGGAGGACCACAGCACAGCCCATTTAAGGGCCACTTGGCCCAGTCTCTTGAGGCTCTTACTTACTTGCAGGGGTGTTCAAATTTTCGATTATTAGTAAATTTCGATATTATCCTATCCTATCAACTCTATTAATCAACTATTCAAACGAATCAGATAGGCAAACAAAAGACTTTTTGGTATTTTGCAAAAAAATCGAATAGAAATGCAGAATACCTATAAAATTTTCATATTCCTACCCTACCTTATCTGCATATATATATATATATATATATATATATATA